AAGTCAAGTGATATGACCTCCTCTTTGTCTCCTTTCCCCCATCCCATAATCAGCTCACCAAAAATATCTTCAACAGTTGGGAAATTGAGATTCAAGTCCACTGTGGTGCTCCTCAGTTGATTTATTTTTGGTCTGGTGCTCATTAGTTGATTGGAGAAGAGAGGGAAAAAGTGAATTACCGTATCTTCTGAAAATGAAAACGTTGAAAACGAAAACAATCCACCGAACAGGTATTTGTCGAAAAACAGGAAACAGAAAACAGAAACGGGCTGTAAAAACGATACCGAACAGGCCCTTATTTTTCTTTGCGGAATGTGTTTTCAGGCTTTAAGATTCATGTTACTCAGAACTGGGCTGGCTTTTCTGTTTGGGGAGTAGGAATATGAAAGAAAAGCCCAATATTCAGGGTCAGGGCCCATATGTGAAATAATAAGATGTATTTATTTGTGAAAGCAATCCCTTTCCTTCCAAAATTCTATTTGTTTAAACTCCTTTGCAAACTTTCAGACCAAAAAAAAAACTCCTTTGCAAACTTTGCTTCCCTCCCTTATCCAGTTTTCCTTCGTTCTCTCTCTCTCTCTCTCTCTCTCTGGCGCACAAAAATAAAATAAAATAAATAACTACACCAACCTACAAGCAAATAGTAACCAAACAACACAGAAATTAAGTTACACTTGGACCATCAAGGGAGATGAGGACAAGCCCAATCCCTCTGTCACCCAAAAACCCAACTTTGATTTTTGACTTCAAAGTCTTCAATTCACATGCAAATTCCTTCACATCACAAACTTCATAAATCCCCATTAACACAAACTCTTCCCATTTAAAAACCAATGGCAAAAGATTAAAAGCCCAGAACAAAAAAAAAGCCGAAGAGAAATTTTCCCGGGAAAATTTCTTCAATGGACAAACCCATACACAATCATCGGTTTCGCTACCGCTGCTCCATAACCAAGCTCATCTTCTGCTGGTTCACCATCCTGCTCGCCTTCTTCTTCTTCTTCCTCCTCAAAACCCCATCTTCCAATGCCAACCGCCGAGTCCTCCCAAGCCTATCCACATGGGAAAACGTCGTCGTCCAATCCGCCAAGCCACGTGATAATTCCACCGGCCACTCGGTTCTCGTCACCGGCGCCGCCGGTTTCGTCGGAACCCACGTCTCGCTCGCGCTCAAAGAACGCGGAGACGGCGTCGTCGGAATAGACAACTTCAACAAGTACTACGACCCGTCGCTGAAACGCCGTCGTTCGGATCTGCTACAGCGCAATGGGGTCTTCGTACTGGAAGCAGACATCAACGACTCTGAGAAACTCGCCAAGCTTTTCCGGCTGGTGAAGTTTACCCATGTCGTCCACTTGGCTGCTCAGGCCGGCGTTCGCTACGCTCTGAAAAACCCAGCTTCTTATGTCCACAGCAACATCGCTGGGCTCGTCAATGTCTTCGAGGTCTGTAAATCAGCGAACCCACAACCTTCGATTGTTTGGGCTTCGTCTAGCTCTGTGTATGGTCTCAATTCTAAGGTACCCTTTTCGGAAGAAGACCGTGCGGACCAACCAGCAAGCTTGTACGCTGCAACGAAGAAAGCTGGGGAAGAAATAGCACACGCTTATAACCATATCCATGGGCTGTCCATTACTGGGTTGAGGTTTTTCACTGTGTATGGGCCTTGGGGCAGGCCTGATATGATGTACTTTTCCTTTACTAAGAACATGTTGAGAGGAAAGCCTATTGTGGTTTTTGAAGGCCCAGATCATGGCTCTGTTGCCAGGGACTTTACGTACATTGATGATGTTGTGAAGGGTTGCTTGGCTGCGTTGGACACGGCTGAGAAGAGCACCGGGAGTGGCGGCAGGGTTGAGGGGCCAGCGCAGTTGAGGGTTTTTAATCTCGGGAACACTTCGCCGGTGCCAGTGAGTGAGGTGGTGAGTATTATGGAGAGGTTGCTGAGGGTGAAGGCTAAGAAGGTTGTGGTGCCAATGCCGAGGAATGGGGATGTTTTGTTTACTCATGCTAACATAAGCTTGGCGCGGAGGGAGCTTGGTTATATGCCCACAACAGATTTGAAGACAGGGTTGAGGAAGTTTTTAAATTGGTATCTTGATTATTATTCGGAATCAAAGAGGGGTGTTTGATAAATGAAATCATGTTTCTTTATGGTGTTCATAAATTATGTAGGTCAATCTTAATAGTGTTTAATTTCTTGTTTCAATTTGATGCGCGTATAGCATCTCAGTTTAGTGTTCATTGACAATTTTGTTCAGAACAGTGAATTTTTTTCTTAATCAACAGGACAATGTATCAAGAAGAGAGCTTATTTTTTTAAAGAAATTTGGCAGTGTTGTCAAGTTCATTAGCAGTATGCAATCAGCAGCTGAATTATTCCTAGGATCTAAAACATTCTACTTCAAAGAAAACATCGTAAACATTCATCGTGACCAAGAGGCAAGCACATAAGAAACAAAAATTATGAAACAGGTTTAGGTTTTTTTGGGTTCAACGACAACAATCAGAAACTCAATCCAACCAGAATAACCAGAATAAAGTATAACAGGAGAACATTTCTCCGTTCCACAGTGAGCATCAATGGGAAGGAAACAACGCTAAAGTACTTCTATTTAACATCAAAACATGGGAGTGCATATTCATATCAAAACAACAGCTCAAGAAAATTGGAAACGACACTACCAAGTCTTTAAATTGAAGATTAGAACACAACAAACAAGCTCATTTTAAAGTAGGAAGGCTACACTGAAAACGGGTCCAGTTTAAGAGTCTGCGATTGTAACCTCCACTTCCACACCAGGTTCAATTGTAATGGAAGTAATTTGCTTGACGACATCAGGAGAACTGAAGAGGTCAATCACCCTCTTGTGGACACGCAACTCAAATCTGTCCCATGTGTTGGTACCTGTAAATCACAAACACAATTTTAAAGATACATACATAACCCTTTAAAATGCAAATGCGGAGACACTGTACTTCAATAACTGGTCAGTTATGAATAAACTACAGTAAGCAACAAATTTTACTTATGTAACTTGGCACAAACAAGGGAGCTCCAAACTCTGAGTAAATGGCCATAAAAGCCATAAGCCTTGTCCACAAGGCCATAAGTTAACAACAAGAACATTTCACAATGAAACATACCTTCACCACAAGGAGACTTCCTGGTGGTAATGTGCAGAACCTTGGTTGGCATTCTCACGGGTCCCTTAACCCGGAGCCTCTTGTCCTTTGCACCACGAACCAGATCAGTGCAAACTATCAATATAACAGATGTCAATCCAGCAGGCTAAAGAAATATTCAAACAAGAAAATTCTTAATTCTTAATAATCTAAACAAACTTTAAAACTTTATGTAGAGAAAGTGGTGGATAAAACCCATTTTAACCACGTCACACAGCAATTAAGTAAAACTGAAATTGAACACAATGAAGCTCATAAAAACCAGAACAATCATGCAGATTAAGAAGACAATTCGGGTATAACAAACCAAATTTATTGAAAATTTCTTGCAGTGGTTTCATGTTATATGCACAAACATTTCTTCAAAGATCAATATACACTAACAGATATCCTCCAGCTATCAAATGGGTCTTAGTCTTTAGACAACTGAAAATTGGAACATGGTAAAACTACTACACAAACGCGTGCCTAGCTAAGAAAAAGTAATTTGTTCCAATTAAAAATAAATAAAAATAAATAAATGGGCAAAAATTAAATAAGACCGATGATAAGCAAAAGGAGAGACCTTTCTCGAGGTTCTTGACGTTCTTGGAGGAGAGAGTGATCCTGATCTTGTGGATCTGCTCCTGAGGCTCCTCCAGACCTGCCTTGCTTGGTTTCATCCCTGCATAAGCCATTTTCTTCAACCAAGCTACTCGTTCGCTTTCCTATACATCAACATAGCAATACAACGATTAATCACAGATATCATATCTAATCTATCATAAATAAGACAAAAGATTACTCTGTTTCACTCAGTTTTGCTAGAAATTATTAAAATAAGCATAATCTAAACTCTGAGAGAGACGAAGAAGAACACAGACCTGGGTGAGGGTTTAGAGCAAGGGATTTATCCAAATGAAGCAAAATATCTATTTTAACAACCAGTTGACCCGAAAAAACGAAAAAGAAAACCTAAGTGACATTGTGAAAGTTATGGACGGGTCGGGTCGAGTCGGGTTGTCACCATGTGTGCCAGGTGTGTGAAAGTTATGGACGTGTCGGGTTGAAGATTTTTTAAGTTGGGTTTAACTTATGAGTCTAGCCCAAATAATAATCGGGTTAGTTGGGCTTCTTCAGAGTTCAGACAAATTACACCGATATTGCCTTTTCTTTTACATATTTTATCTTTCGTCAAGCGGTGAGGCACACTGTCATGATCAATTGGCCTAACCCATATTTTCGAGTTTACTTTTAATTATTAATGATGATAATATAGTTCATTTTGTTGCCAAATTTACTTTTGGATTTGGAAAATGTTCTTATAAATTTTTGGTCGACATGCTTTTGAAATGAGGTTAGTTCCCACTTGTTTAATCGCCATTTCCTACAAAAATTAAAGACACATAATTACTTATTTATTTTTGGTGAAGTAGGGTTGAAGGGGTTGAACCACAAACAATGCTTAAGAACATACAATGACCTTGATAATTGGTGGTATTAGATTCTTTGGAGATGATGATTGGCAAGCATCGTAAATATCCATGGTTCACGTGACCAAGAGGCAAGATCATAAGAAACAACAAAATATGTTAGCTTGTATGGTTAACTTCGTGACCATTTAGGGAATGCAAATGTTTCACGAGGCAATCCAAGACAACGATCAAAAACTCAATTGACACTGAATGATGTAGAAGAACACGCAGAAGATTACCAGGAAGAAAACATTTGTACGCCCCACGGAGGCCATCAACACCAAAACTCAATTTAAGAATTTCAAATTGTCTTAATTATCTGTCATATATAGGATATCATCAATGCAACGGAAACCAAGCTAAAGCATTTGGCAAAGCGTACTTCTATTCAATATCAAAATATGCACTGACGTACATATCCATATCAAAACATCAGGGTCAAGAAATTGCAAACGACACTACTACATCTTTAAATTCAAAATTAGAACAGAAAAAACAAGCTCATTGTCCAACTAATTGGGAAGGCTATGCGGAAAACTGGTCCAGTTTAAGAGTCGGCAATTGTGACCTCCACTTCCACACCAGGTTCAATTGTAATGGATGTAATTTGCTTGACCACATCAGGAGAGCTAAAGAGGTCAATAACCCTCTTGTGGACACGCAACTCAAATCTGTCCCATGTGTTGGTACCTGTAAACCACAAACAAAATTTTTTAGATACATACATAACCCTTTAAAATGCAAATGCAGACAATGCATTTCTGTAACTGGTCAGGTATGAACAGGCCACAGTAAGTTACAAAATTTACTTATGTTACCTAGCACAAATAAGGGTAACCCTAAACCAACTCTAAGAATGACCACAAAAGCCATAACCCTTGTCCATAAACCAGCCCATAAGGCATTCATATATACACTAAAACAATGATAGAAATATAACAATGTCATTTGTCAAGCCGTAAATTAAGAGCAAGCACATTTCACACAGAAACATACCTTCACCACAAGGAGCCTTCCTGGTGGTAATGTGCAGAACCTTGGTTGGCATTCTCACGGGTCCCTTAACCCTGAGCCTCTTGTCCTTTGCACCACGAACAAGATCAGTGCACACTATCAATAAAACAGATGTCAATCCAACAGGCTAAAGAAATATTCAAACAAGAAAACGTGAATGCTTATAATCTAAACAACGGTGGATAAACCAATTTGGACCACGTCACAAAGCAATTAAAGAAAAATAAGATTGAATAACAGTTGGACAATCAAGCTCATAAAAACCAGCAAAATCTAAGAGATTAAGAGGATAATTCAGGTATGACAAACCAATCTTATTGAAAAGGCATTGCACTGGTTTCATGTGATATGTACACAATATTATACTGCAAGCACAAAGTTTTCTCCAAAGTTCAATTCGCACTAACAAATATGCAGCTACTGAACAGGTGTTACGACAATAGAAAATGGGAAGATGGAAAAACTTTTAAACAAACGCGACCCTAAGAGATACTAATTACTAATACAAACGTCCATTTCAAATGAAAAATAAAGAATCAGGATGTATTACAAGCAATGCGAATCGGGCAAAACTAAAATAAATATAACAAGCAAAAGCAGAGACCTTTCTCGAGGTTCTTCACGTTCTTGGAAGAGAGAGTGATCCTGATCTTATGGATCTGCTCCTGAGGCTCCTCCAGCCCTGGCTTGTTTGTTTTCATCGCTGCGTAAGCCATTGTGTTCAAGCTACTTGTTCGCTTTCCTACATATTGAGATCAAAACAAAACGATTAATCACATATATCATATTCAATCTATAAACAATCAGAAACGAAATGAACTTGGTTTCAGTCTGGGAAAATCACAGACCTGGGTGCAGGTGTGGAGGGGAGGAAGGAGGGCTGTAGCTGCGGCTTCTTCAATACCTCTTTTCTCAAAGCGATGTAAGGAGCAGCCAAGTCTTGTGAGTTTATATATCATGGGTTATTAGGGTTTTGCCACCATGTGCGCGAAAGTTAAGGCCGGGTCGGGTTGGCGATTTTTGAACGTGGGTGACTCTGGCCCAAATACTCTGGGTTGGTTGTGCTTCATCCAGATAAATTATATTTTTTTACTTTCTGTGTTTCCCAACTATTTGTTATAAATCACGATAATAGGGTTCATTTGTTGCCAATTTTGGTTTTGGAGAATCTTCTTAGAAATTTTTGGTAAACATATTTATGGTTCCCATTTTGTTCCAAAAACAAAATTATAGACATAATTATTTATTTTTTGTCTTTTGTCTGCCAGTGCCGCCCTCAAATTAACAGGACATCTAATGACCTTGATTATTGGTGGTATACAAACCCAAAACTAGAAGTAGTTTCGTACTCAGAACACTGAAAAGAGGCGTAGCATTCTGTAACACCATTCTCTTTTTTATGATATTTTCTTATTTTGTTAGAAAAACAGTGAACAACGCACAAAATTCTTACCAAAAGAATCCTTCATCTTTCCATAAAAGATAGCAGTAAACCAATAAATCGAAAGAAAGGCCTAAAGGTACTCCTCACAAAGTTACCAATCCTTGTGTCCTGAGACTAATGACTAACGGACAATTTGTTCACATATACAGCAAGATCCAGAGCATAACAAGAAAGGGTCATGGGTTAAAACGCAACACTTGAAAGAGATGAAACATTGAAAGGAGAAAGAATTTCAATGGCGGCCACCATCATTCTCATGCTCCATTTCTTCAGCATCCTCAAAGCGTTGATCATTGATTTGAAGCTGCCAGGAAGATAAAAAAATGTGATCAATATCATATGCTGCTCTCAATTAAAGAAACAAAAAGCTCATACAAAGGCACCAACTCCATAGCAGCATTTAATGGATATTCACACCCTACCTCAAGCACGGTACGAGCTAGGTCATGATCCCCATTAGATTGACCAATTGAAGGATTTTCAGAAACATGCCACTCAGAATCTTCCCCTGAAAATACCGTCATATTCAAAACAAAGATATCAGACAACAAAAGATTTTTTATCACACAAATTGACACAAAACTGGTACAAATTGTTACATGGTGCATCCCATACCTGTTGCGTCATCTTCCAACTGATCAGCACTAAAAATCCAATTATGCTCTTCTTCCGCTTCTAGAAAAAGATAAAAACAATTGTGTGATACTAGGATGCAACTCATGAAGCAAACATAACACATTAGCATTCAAAAAGAGAAAATAAGAAATAAAATAAACCCTGGCATTAAGAGAAAATCTACTAACCTTCAATCAGTTCAGGATTAAGCTCAGCACACTCGCAAAATACCTCAAACAGAGAATCCACTGCCACATAGAAATTAATATGCCAGTTACACTTCTCCAGGAAAATACTAAGAAAAATCAACACTTTTCCAGGAAAATACTAAGAAAAATCAAGACAGTATGACCTTATTATAGCCACAATTGAGAGAGAGAGAGAGAGAGAGAGAGAGAGAGAGAGAGAGGTACATTGGTTAGGATCTGAAGGAACAAGCCTCATTTCTGTGATCTTGGACAAATCTAAGACACCATTGCATTCTGAATCTGAGCCATCGGACACATGCTCGTCATCCCCAGTTTCAATCTATAAATATTAAAACATTAATCAGAAAAGCAACGCACAAAACTTGAAATTAGACATTGTAGTTAATGATCAGTCAGGAGACTCAGGACCAACAATCCTAAACCCAGCACAGCATACAGTAAAGACACAAACCTTGAATACAAAATAAGTAAACAAGTGATTCTTGTGTACAGTAGATAAATGGTAAAAAGATCTGAATTTCAATGAGATACAGTTCCACACACAGAAATATCTTATTCGCACAATGGGTCACTTTTCTCTTTAATGTTTGCAGAATTAATATAAGAACACGATTCTAAAGCTCACGAAAACAACAAAGACTTTTCAACTTATTAAGAGTTCATATAGCACAAGCAACAAGAACTGACAAAAAAAAAATTTGAAAGAACGAAGAAAGGGGTTACAGATTCAGTGAATCAAATAAAATTGCCGTACAACTTTGACACCAAACAATTGGAAGAACTGTTTTGAGACCAGGTATATTTCAGACAAGATAAAGATAAAATCCTATATTACTGCTGGAGTGCCTTGATGAATATGAAAGCAAATACCTGAGTGTATATACAAGGAGAGGTGTAGGCCTCTGGGTCCCTGGATACAGCATGCAGTGATATAGACAAGAAGTCCACAGCATAACCTTTCGCCCTGTCAACATCACTCAACCAGACCACTTTCCTGCAAAATCCCAGCTAACTGTTTGAATGGATGCCATTTTGGTAGAAGGAAAAAGAAAAAAAAAAGTTTTCCCATCCCTTCAGATATGTTTTCTTTACTCTATCCCCTTAATTTTCACCTAAACAAAAACATATAAAATCATGAGAGCTATAATGGCGTACTTGGTGGAGATGTGGAGAGTGCCAGGGGACTCAGGAGGGCGATTACCAAGGACGATAGAAACACAAGGCTGAACGTGCATCAGCTCCTCGCCATTCTCTGCATCCAGAACTGGTTCGTCAACACCATTTCTTTCAACTCTTGCAGTGAACTCTCTAAGCCCTGCCACCATTTTGCTCGCTGACTCAGGCTTCTTCCTTTTCTTTGACAAAAGAAAAAAGGACGGTTACGGACAGCGGACAGCCCATGATCACTAGATTGCTCCAATGAACTTACTGAACAAACTAATTTGCAAACTATGAGTATATTTGAAGTTAACAAATAAAATGGGAGGGCCTAGCCTCAAATTTGATGAGGAAACAGCCCTAATAAAATTTGATATTTTTTTGTAAGTGATAGCCAGTGATGAGCACTCTCTCCCATTTTGATAAAGAAAGAAGGGCGATTAATAAACTATTTAAACAATACAACATTTTCTCAGAAAACAAACAGTCCTCTAAGCTGAAAAGAATCGATAACGTTATCAAAGCCCAACGGTTGAAGAATGATCAAATTTATCAAAACCATGAACTGGATAAAATGAACCAACAGCAATATATACCATTTTTTAAAAACAAATACAGACAAATTAATCCGGAAACACATTCAAAGAAAAAAAGAAAAAGAAATCGGCGTTTATGATTTCATACCTCGATTCTGATGTTGGAGCCAAGTATGCGATCGATACCACTCTT